ACACACACACACAAAGTGAGCTGGGTGTTGGTGGCACACGCCTTTAATCCCAGCACTCAGGAGGCAGAGGCAGATGGATCTCTGAGGCAGATGGATCTTTGAGTTTGAGGCCAGTCTGGTCTACAGAGTGAGTGCCAGGATAGGCTCCAAAGCTGCACAGAGAAACCCTGTCTCAAAAACCAAAAAAAAAAAAGAAAAAAAAAAAGACAGCTGCACTACTGTCTTTGGGCTGTCCAGGACCTCTCAGACTCTACCAGGTTCTGGCAAACCCAGTCACCCTATTCTTTTTGGTCTGGCCCTCCAGTTGCTCTAAACTGCCTGGGAACTGTCACAGGACCAGGTAATCTCAAAGGCCCAGCTTTATTGGAATGGCTCCTAAGAAAACCACAGCCTAGGCTGGAAAGATGGCTCAGGGGTTTAGAGCACTGCTTGCTCTTTCAGAGGTCCTGAGTTCAATTCCCAGCAACCACATGGTGGCTCACAACCATCTGTAATGTAGTCTGGTGCCCTCTTCTGGACCGCAGGGATACATGCAGACAGAACCCTGTATTCGTAATAAAGAAAGAAAAAGAAAACTGCAGCCCAATGAATCCTCTGCCTAGAGATCCCCTAGGTCCCACCTCCCGGTTCTCTCATAAAGCCCCACACTCAAGTCCCACCCCTATCCCCTACCATAAACTCCCTGCTCTGATGCAATTAGGCTCCAGTCCCATTAGGACATTTTGGGACTTCTATAGGTCAGTCCCTCAAGCAGCCAGCACCATCCACCAAGTTCCTTCCTGCCCTGGGCTCCACCCTCCAATGTTTACTAGGTTGCCCCTCACCCCAGCACCCATAAAACCCATCAGACCGAGTCCCCAGCTGCTGTCACTCTGGAAGCGATCGTCCCCACGCCTTGGTCGCCGGTGCCTCAGGGAAGCGTCAGGATTGGCCTGAACCATGAGGGGCTCCTGGCGCTTCCTGCGCTGCTTCTTCTCAAATAGCTGTCGCTGCACAAGCAAGAAGGAGTGTGGTGGGGACAGAAACCAGACAGGTAAATGGGTGAGGCTGGCTGGGAGAGTCAGATGCCCTTCCTCTGTTGGGGTCCCAGACTCCCTGCAGATTGCATCTACCTCCACCTTCTCCTCCAAGAACTAGGAGTCCAGCCCTCTTAGAACTTCTGTTCATTAAAAATTTCCTCAGCCTGGGCTGCCATCTAGGCAGAGGCATGAGGATTGCAATTTCCAAGCCTTCCTAGACAATTTGGTGAGACCGTTTCAAAATACAGAGGCTAACATCTGTAGTAAGTCCAGAAACAGAAGTAAGAGGATGGGAGCAAATTCCAGGTCATCACAGGCTACAGAGTGACTAATTAGGACCTGAGAGATGGCTCAGTGAATTAAGGTGCTTGCCATTCCATCAACCTTCACAACCTGAGTTCCATCCCTAGGATCTACATTGTCAAAAGAGAAAACCCGCTCCTGCAAATTGTCTTCACATACATGTCATGGCGTGAGTGTCCTCTACCGCAGACTAAATGTAATTAAAAAAAAACAAAAACGAACAAACAGGCCAGGTGTTGGTGATGCACGCCTTTAATCCCAGCACTTGGGAGGCAGAGGCAGACGGATCTCTGTGAGTTCTTGACCACCCTGGTCTACAAGAGCGAGTTCCAGGACAGGCTCCAAAGCCACAGAGAAACCCTGTCTCGAAAAACAAAAACAATAACAAAAACAAAAACAAACAACAACAAAAACAGAGCACGGTGGCTCACAACTGTAATTCCAGCACTCCAGCCTGGGCTAGGCAGCAAAGTCCTGTTTCAAAATGAAGCCGAATTCCTACTTTGACTTTTCCTAACTCCAGACCCTGAAGTTCAGAGAAAATGAACATAGCATTGGGGGTCTCTGAACAACCTTCTGGGAAGGTAGGGAGATGAAGGAGTGAGATTCCGGGCCATACCTGTTGTTCCAGCTTCTGCAGCCTCACACCTGAGAATTCATCCTCCAAGGTCCTGAGAGAAACACAGGCTGGTGACCAAAGCCAGCAAGACAGCCCCTCCCCTTTGACCAACTTGGGTACTGAACGCCGGTGATGTCATAGTAGTTGCCAGACCTGAGATTTCTAGGTCAGTTATGACGCCCTTTCTCCCAGCCCCTCCCCCTTAAGGACCCACGCAGAGACCCCCAGGCTGGCTATCTAGGGAGACTCAGGCCCCTCCCTTCCTCTTGGAGACCTAAGCATCTTCACTGGTACCCCTTTCAAAGGAAGTGGGAGTCCAGGTCCCCACCACCTTCCTACAGAGTTGATGGTGGTGAGCCTGAAGACAAAGTTTGGCCCAAAGTTGTGCGCAGCCCTATGGTGCGCATCTACGCCGTCCCTCTCCCAACCCCGCTGCCCATTAGGTTTCCCCACTCACTCTTTCTTCCACGGTTCATTTTCCTGAGACGTTCTAGAGGATTAGGAAGGCACAATCAAGACCTAGATCCCACGTCTTAACAGAGACCACCCTCCAGTCCCCGATGTCTGCCTTCAGTTTTCTCTTGAACCCCAACACCCCAAATCCCAACACCCACCTGAAACTTAGTAGCCTATGAACCCTAACAACCCAAATCCCAATTCCCTCCTGAAACCTAGCCTGTGTCGAGCTTTAAGCACTACCGGGAGCACAGAAATCCAGTTCTCTACCAAGTACTAAGGCCTGTCCTGCTTCTAAGAATTGGGACTCCGGGCTCAAGAGTCACAAATCCCAAACCTTCAGTATCCACCCGTTTGGAATCCCAGAGGTGCCCAACCATCCCTAGCACCAGCTTGGGTCTCACGGCTTTGCCGCGATGCTGGAACTCTAAACACAGCCAGACACTTTCTCGGAAAACGGGATTCCCAAAGGGACTTGCCCTCTTCTTGGCCCTCTTGGCCCCTCACGGTCCATGTCCAACAGAGTAATGCCTCCAGGCCACTGAAGCAGACAGATCCCTTGTTCTGGGGTTCTGAATTGGAACCACAAGCCAACGTTCCTTAAAGGGACCATGGGTATCTATCTACCTAGCAATATAGTTCTACCTACAGAGCATTTAAAAAATTAAAAACAAAAAAAAAAAATCTGTAAGGTTAAGGTTTAAGGTTTATGCCTTTAATCCCAGCCCTTGGGAGGAAGAGACAGGCGGATCTCTGTGAGTTTGAGGCCAGCCTGGTCTAAAAGAGTGAGTTCCAGGACAGCCTCCAAAGCCACAGAGAAACCCTGTCTTGAAAAACAAAACAAAACAAAAACAAAAACAGGAGTGCCGGGAAACCAAAGCATTCCTCTTCTACAAGCATTCCTATCTTGGATACATTTTAAAAAAGAAAAAGAAAAAAGAGGGGCTGGTATATTTTAAACTCAGCACTTGGGAGTCAGAAGCAGGAGGATCTCTGTGATCTCGAGGCCAGCCTGGTCTACATAGAGTTCCAGTCAGGGTTACATAGTGAGACCCTGTCTAAAAAATAATGACAGTATACTATACAGTTGCATACCACTAACGTTCTAATTTGCAGGAACTTGCAGAGCAAAAATAAATGAGAAAACTACAATTCCCAGGAGACACAGCGGCAAGATGTCCGCGAAAGTTGCCCCACCCCCACCCCTGCATGCAGTGCTTTGACTTTTATTTGAAAACGACGCAGGAAATGTCACGTTTAAGAATGTGAGTTTCCAAGAAAGCAGGAAAGATTTTCTAAAGTAAGGGAACCTCATCGGAAAGGGGCGGGGCCGCTAACTCGGGC